GTAGCCGGTGTGGCTGCTCGTAGGAGCTTCAGGGTTTCCCGGTGTGTTCCCTGGAGTTCAAGTAAAATTAAACCAGAGCAAGACCATATTAAAAAAAAAAAACAACATTTCTGAGTGTTACGGTCGCTTCGCTGAGTTACTCCGTCTTAGTTTGCTAAACAGTCCAACAAATTAAGGACCTTCTGAAGACTTTAGACGGGTTTAATTTTTTCACTCCATGTGTACGCTTCAAGAGCAAAGAACTTGCAGTGTTATTTGCAGAAATAATTTATTAGCAGGCATGCAACCGTATTTCCAGTCATAGTGCACGTCAAAATCATATCGGTCACTACAGTAGAAAGTAGTCTTGTTACGGGAATCTGTTTTTCACTGGCATGGGATGGATTAAAAGATTTACTGAATCCTGTCCAGTGCTAATTTCTGCAGTTCTGTTCACTACCTTATGTGTAATCCTTTGACGTAGAAAAGAAAAATGAAAATGTTCTGTGTCGTGAAATCTGTGCGGTTCAGAAAAACAGGATCAGCTTTGTCAAGTCTGTACTTTAAGAGCTGCTTTACTTGAATTTTGTGAGTTTGTGCGGGGGGGGTGTATTTTTTGTTTTTTTTTTTTTTTAAGAGACATTAACAGTAAGAGTACCTATTTTCTAATGTCTGGGGTTATTTTATTTCATTATTTTTTAAATCTGCAGGTTGCAATAAAAATAATAGATAAAACAAGGTTAGACCCAAGCAATCTGGAGAAGATTTATAGAGAAGTTCAGATAATGAAGCTTTTGAATCATCCCCACATTATCAAGCTATATCAGGTAAGAGCTCAGCTTTGAACTGCAGCATGCAGATGAGAGATGCTTGTGCTCTTCTCTTGCACATGATTTTACATCAAATATTTGCAGAGAGAATGCATATTGAAATACTTTTTGGAAAAGACTTAAACTGGGTTTTGTACAAGTCATTCATCATTCTTTGAACAAGACTGTGATACATTAGACAGCTTTTTGACCAAATGCACCATAAAATTTATAGTTAAAACCCAGCTGAAGTTTGTTTCAGATCAAGGAACTGATTATCTGAACTTCTGTGATTGACTTGCCTCTCCTAACTCCTCTGCTTTTCCAGTTTAGAGGACTGGAACTTCTTAACGTGCTTTTGATAAGGGGAAGACTTAAACTCATGTAGGATAGCAGAGAAGAAAGCACAAAAGTTGAGTTTGCTGTAAGTGGAAGGGATTTAAAATCAACAGCAAAGAAACCAAATCAATCTAAGAATTAGAATTCTAATCTAAGTAGAAAAGAAAAAGCCTGTAAATGTTGGTATCTTAGTTGGTATCTTATGTCAAAAAATGACCCATTTGGTTATTCTGTTCCAGTTTGTGTAGTTTTGAAGGTGAATTTTAAATACCCATCCCCTTGTAGAGTTTCACAAAACGAATTTTAGTTTAGGTTTGTTCAGTTTCTGCACTGATGGGCATTTTTAACAGTAAGAACAAAATAATGTGTTATGCAGAAAACGGATCACAGCTGTCTAGCGAGCAAGGACTGCTTTGCAAATTCTAAATATTTGATCTAATTAGCATTTGGTATAAGTTCCTCTTAATCATCTTAAATAGTGCCATGTGGATTTAAGACAAAGATGAGGTATCACAGTCTGTCTGGACCTGTCTAGAAGGGCGGGGGGGGAGACCGGAACAGATGGATGAAGCAGCAGGTCTGAAAGTCTGTGTGCAGTAGTAAACACTATTATCAGCTGCAGTCTTACCGTTGGGTTTGTTAGCTTAAAAAAAAAAAGAAAAAAAAAAGTTTAATTAATGTGTAAGGCTGAAGAGCCAGTAAGGCGGGTGCTTAGGCAAGGCATTATTTTTAAAGACCTTGACACACATGAAGTGCTTGATATTTATAGTATTAACCATCATAACAAAAATTATTCTGTGTTAACTTCTGACGTCACTGTTGCCCATAGGGCAGTATAGGATATACAGAAACATTCTAACAGTTCAGTTGATTTCATTTCGGTGGAATGATGTGGGTGAAAATACTACTTCGAAGCTTTTAGAAAAGCAGGTTAAATTCCATCTAGTTGAACCACTTCACTTGATGGAGCCAATGACGTTGGTAGTGGACCATAATTTCTTTTCAGTGAAGTTTTCTTTTCTTTGTTGTTGTAACTGATGCTTTACCTGTTTGGTGGAGACTGAGGAGCAGGAGACGGAAGAGCAGGAATTGAATTAGATGACATACCAATGTAGGGTGTGTGTTCTTGTATTATTTCATCATTGTTTTAGTTTCAGCACAGCGTCTTAATTTCATCCAGCTGGCAACTTTCCCAGAACACTTTCCTTCAGTTTTTTAAACTGGGAACCTCTCTTCCTTTGCTCCCTGTTTGTTTATTTTCATTTTGTGTCTGTGTGTACTTGTAGTGAGGGGAGGACAAGAGTCTTCCAGAAAGGTTACATGTTAGGATCCTGGAAATTGCAGCCTTTGAAGTAGCATTGACGCTTTTTTTGTTTATTAACCTGTTGTGAGCCTTCTGCTTCCAAAACAAAATACCAGCTCCTTGAGAGTCCAGTTCTAGGGAAATGTTGTATTTTGAAATCTGAAATGCAACGTTTGAAAGATGTGCCATAGCGACTGAAGATTAATTTGGAAATGCTCAGCATTTCTCATTCATCGTTTGGTTTTTAGTTCTTTTTTTTTTTTCCTCCAAAGCAAAAAAATTAATAAGTATCACAGGAAGTTGATACTAGATTGACAGGTGAACTCTGGGCTATATATTGACAGTTGTTGATGTGCATGAAGTACTGCTGTTACACAAACGGCCACCTATTGTCGCTTGTGTGGGAGGATTGCCATGTCCCCAGCCAACAGCAAATGGGAGCGGGGTATTTGATACTACTTCTTGATTTGTCCAAGTTGCAAATATCTATCCTGATTGGAGTACCTGATAGCCTTGAAACAAAGGCGACTTTATGTAAACTTTAAGTGTCTTTGCATGTTCAAAGTGTAGCAAATGAATTGTAAAACTATATGTGCATAGTTTAACAAAAAGTGAATTCAGGGTAGTGTATGAAATTACTGGAATGCTCATCAGTTATCTTATGGAGATTAGGTGGCATGGTAATGGTGAGAAGAACAATGGGATGAGAAGCCATTGTATATTGTAGGCACATAAGCATTGATCTGCTATCTTTTTCGTTACCAGTTTGCTTGGAAAGAACATTGTGGTGCAAAATTAGATGCCTTTACTGCTGGCTGCTGTGGCAAATAAGTAATTGAACAGATATGTTTGAGAATACACTTAGAAAAATGAGTGAAACTACAGAGGTCTGCATTTTTTTTAAGCATGTCCTCTCTTGTGTCTTCACAGGTTATGGAGACAAAGGATATGCTTTACATTGTTACTGAGTTTGCAAAGAATGGAGAAATGTTTGGTAAGTCCTCACTGCCAGAGCTAACAGTTCTTTAGATTTAGAAACCATGGCTTTATTGTTGTCATTCCTGAGTAATATATATTTTCCGATTAAAAATCCAGGGTTGGCGGTGTCAGCTGTCAAACAGCGAGTGCAGCACCTGAAGGATTATGAAAAATCTCCTCCAGGTGTTTCTAAATCCCCTGCTTCTTTTGTTTTGTCTTGCAGATCATCTGACCTCCAATGGGCACTTAAGTGAAAGTGAAGCACGGAAGAAATTCTGGCAGATTCTTTCAGCAGTGGAATATTGTCACAGCCACCACATAGTGCACAGGGATCTCAAAACAGAGAACCTTCTGCTAGATGCTAACATGAATATCAAGTTAGCAGGTACTAAGAAATACACAGTTAGTCTATAAACAACATTAGGCATGTAGTCAAATTCAGTCTCCCTAGGATCATCCTATCAATATATTTATGGGAAATGAAAATAAAACAAAAGTTACTGAAATTTCTCTGAACATGTCCTCTGGACAAAAGAGAATAGCTTAAATGAATAGGCAGAGACCAAAGCAATGCATATGTTCTCTTCTCTCTATTTGCTGCTACTTTTGAAATATTAGTATGTGGTTGAATGATGTCTTACCCCAGACTTTTACCTTCATTCCAGACTTTGGCTTTGGAAACTTCTATAAGTCAGGAGAACCCCTCTCCACTTGGTGTGGAAGCCCACCCTATGCAGCTCCGGAAGTTTTTGAAGGCAAAGAATATGAAGGACCTCACCTTGATATATGGGTGAGCTTGATATTCCTTAGAAATTGCATTTCACACTTCATGAGGGTCTGTGGGCTTTCTAAATCGTTGCTTGTACTGGCGTTACTCACATGCTGTGCTGTTTTCTGTTGACAGAGCCTTGGGGTGGTGCTGTATGTCCTTGTCTGCGGTTCTCTGCCTTTTGATGGACCCAATTTACCAACTCTGAGGCAAAGAGTGCTGGAGGGACGGTTCCGCATCCCTTATTTCATGTCCGAAGGTGCTTTTTTTTCAGATTCTTTATGTTAGAAAAGGGGCTACAGATAAAGGAATAGCTGTCCTGTTCCTTCTTGAGGCAACGACAGATGGGGCTGGTTTTGCAGCTGGCAATCACTTTGTCGTTACGTATCCCATAATTTCCGTAGGGCAGTGCTTATAATGAGTTCAGGGGCTGGTTGCACACATCTTCTTTTCTGAGGTGTCCTTTATGGTGCATCTAAAAAGTTGTCACTTCCTTTCTTGGGGTATCTCTATGGATTACAAAAATATTTGACACCCTAGCTGGAGAAATAATCAGTCACAAAAGAGAGAAAACAGGATTTTAATGAGACTAGCCTGCAATGCTGAGATGGGTGTAGTTCTCCTAAGATATTTTAACTATGCAGAAGGGGTATATTTCAGGGTGGCTATGCTGTCAAGGAGAGCAGAAATAGTGGGGCTTAGCACTGTTTCTTGAACGCTCGAACAGTCTGGTGAGAAAAAGGGACTGAAGAGTATTATCACCTCTCTCTGATTTTGATTTGAAAACAAGCGAATGTGCCTCTCTCTTCAAGTGCAGAGTTATCTTTTGAAGTCTGACCTTTATCAGTTAGAGCCGCGAATGGCTTTGATTCCCCGGTTATAAACAAATAAGCAGTATAGATGGACCAGGAAGCTGTGTGTGATGGGGTTCTGTACTAAATTCTGACCTATTTTAAGTGGATGCAACATCATTAAACCTGCATCCACTCAAAACTAGCTCTCCTACAAGGTGTAAGGCCACCTGAAACCTGCTGGTATCCAGTACAGCTTCATTTCCTGTAGTGACGTCTTGCTATTGTGAAATGGATGTGGACCTTTCTTGTGCTCTTTAAGTATCTGGTAGTCAGACCAGGCGTTAGCTGCTCAGAAACCTTTAATTCCCGTTTTCACACATATTGTTCACTGTTGCTGGGAAGGTTTCTTAGCAGTGACCTGGGGCTGGGCTGTTATTTTTGCTCCTGGCTCATGAGTTTGTCTTTGCCATCCAGACTGTGAAACACTAATCCGACGGATGTTGGTTGTGGACCCAACCAAGCGAATAACCATTTCCCAAATAAAGCAGCACAAGTGGATGCAAGCTGACCCATCTCTTCAACAGCAGCAGTCTTTGTCCTTCTCCATGCAAAACTACAACTCCAACCTGGGTGACTACAATGAACAGGTCCTTGGGATCATGCAAACACTTGGCATCGACAGGCAGAGAACTGTTGAGGTGAGAAGTGCTTGCCCATTAGATACATCTTCAGTGACTACCAGAACGCCAGTGGTGCAGTCATATATATGTCACTCAGTGACTAGCCTTGATCCAGTGTCACAGTGTAGTAATCTTCACTGCCCTTCTGGTTTTTTACGTATTTTTTGGCTGCGCTATTATGAGGCCTTAGTGATGAGTTTTGCCTGCTTATATCCCGAGTTACCTGTAACTCAAGGGTCCTTTCAATGTCTTCCAGTCTCTGCAAAACAGCAGCTACAACCATTTTGCTGCGATTTATTACCTGCTTCTGGAGCGCCTCAAGGAGTATCGAAGCAGCCAGCTATCGAGTCGTCCAGCAGCGGGCCGTCAGCAAAGGCCGAGGAGCTCCGAGATCAGCAATGTTGAGGTAAGGAAGGGCATTACTTACTTGGGAAGCTCTGTCTGTTGGCTCTTTTTTTCTGCCCCTTGCTACGGGAAAAGGTGGTAACTCTCAGGCTTCCGAAAACCAATTCTGATATTGGTGCCCTCTGATAGGACACAGCCTACTGTTCTTC